AAATAAACCATACTTCTAGTTTTGACTGCTCTAATTTAAATAAGCCATCAGCTAAGTTTTACTTCCATCTCAGTCTTATGCTGCTACAGTAGATAGTTATGTCTTGGTTTCCTAATTTTCTTGGCCTTTCCTTTAATACACAGGGTGGGGGGTGTGTGTGGGGGTTCTTTTTTCCGTTTCCCTTTACTCATCTTTTCTTTTTCTTTTTCAAATTTGCTATGAAATATTTACTCTTGAAATATATATGTTAATTAATATAATTTAAATTCTGATTCTTGTTAATATCAGCAGTGTGCAAACTACATCACATTCAAACACGGACATAATGCAGAACCCACAGATTCCATCTATGGAATCACCCTTATTTTCTATGCCAGGATGTTTCTACAGCCAAGAAAACCAAAACCCTTCCACTACGTTTTATTAATCCATCAGAAGTCTAAGCTGAATGAAGTTACATTATTTCTTGGGCACATTTTTGGGTTTTGCTATCTAAATACAGGTTTGGGAGCCCTTGAAATTCTTGTTGATTAAAGTTTTAGTATTATATGTTTAAAACTTTCCAGTAACTTTCACAAATAATTGAGAATCTGCCACAGCTGAGACATCTTAAGAATATGTTCAAAACCTGAGTTTGTTCCTAAAAGGAAAGGTTGTAATGGAGAGATAAAGGGAATAATAAAGGGTATTCTTGTATTCTAAAACTAGTGATGAGACAGATTTTGTGAATCACCCTCTGAAAATGCCTGTTTCCCACCACTATCAGGAGAGATCAGAGTGACCTGCTCAGACGTAGCTATTTAAATTTCCAAAATTAGGTGAGATGAAGTGCACATTAAATGACTAACATGGTAAATGGTACAGCATTTTTTTTTTTTTGATTGACAGAATTCTAAAAAGAAAAGTTTTTAATATAAACACAGCTTTAACAAATTCTCTGCAAACTTGTTACTGCAAAGTTTTAATAAAATCAACACTTCTGGTAATAATAAAGTTATTCACTTGAATTCACACTCTTGATAAGGATCATTACATCCTATGCAAAACCTGACAGTAACCTAGAATAACAAAGTTGAGAGAATTTACAGTGCTGATTAGCGATTACATACAGTCATTGTAAAACATAAGTTGTTATTTTCTTGATTTTATTATCACATTTGATTCATTTTTTGGCAGGTAATACAATTGCTTTACAAGCACTGAAAACATGGGGGTCAAAAAAAAAAAAGTTAAATATGTTTCTTTAATACTAACATTCTTCCTGGAAAAAAAAGGATGGAGGAATTATTTGCCCTGAAGTAGTGGATTAGGCTGTGTTATCTCTGGGGTCAAGATTTAGCTTTCAATATTTACTTAAAATTCTTTCCTTATATTAGTCTGGTACACACTGAATAAGACACCAGTGCAGTTGTGACATTTAACAGAATGTTTAATGTAATGAATTGGTTCTTTTTACCCATCTTAATCTAGTCAATAGTTCAAATTTTAAAATCAGTTTTATAAAGCCTACTCCTGTGTTAAAGCCACAGGTGCAGATAATCAAGTCATTTTAAAATCACTCCATCCGAGATACTTTGAAGGTTCTCTTGTGCCACACACTAACAAATTTCTTGACTTTGATTGTGCAGGAAGACCATAATTCCCATAATTTTCCCATTCCACTTTGCATTGCTAACAAACAAATCTCTTTTATAAACAACTCAATGCTTCATTCCATATTAATCTTTGTACTTGGAAAAAACATCCTCCAAAAATGAATTTATCGAGTCAACTCCCTGGTGACAAAATTTATCATGAAGTCTCACTTTTCTTGAGAAGCATAAGGAGAAGGATGGGGAGACAATGCAAAAATGATGGGTTGTCTTCATGCAGACATATCCTTCTCAGCAAACAAACACCCATCTCTTTTGACGCCCTGAAATTGTATTAGGCATTTCACAAACCAAACTTGCATTTTTGTTTTTAGCTAGAATTCAAACTAAATTCAATGTGACACAGTATTTGTCTAAAGACAGACAAGAGTAAGGGCAAAGAAAAAAGGTGGATGGAAATGACAGTAATAATTCACAGACATGATCAAGGAGTTAAGAGGCGCAAGATGTAGTCTGCATAGCTGAACTTGTGCACTGATTGTAGATAGAGGGACTAACATTTAAGTAGATGTTAAATAAGATTGTTCTGACATTGGCCCCTGTGGATAACTTTCACTTTAAATTACTGGCTTTGTCTTTGAAGCATACCCCAGAATTTTGGTTAGAGACCAGCAAACCAACCTTTGGTGCTGTTCAGAATGACAGCAGTTCTGATATTTTCATCAAACCTCTTACATGACATACAGTCTCACGTGCAACTCCTGGATCAATGAAAATCTGCCTTCGACTCCAGTTGTGATTGAAAGATATTCTCTGTGTGAGCTGTAACTGTGGAAACCCGATCACTGGTACTGGGGTGAAGAAACAGGCTTGGTGAAGAGTAAATGAATTGTTCATTATCAAGTGGATTTGATTCATTATTAGTCATTCAAAAAGCCCATAATTTGAAGACAGGTGAATGTCTGATGTGACAGATTGGCTCCCTTTTTCACTTTGGGTAGAGAAATCATTCTCAGCTTTCATCATGACTTTAGCACAAACACTCTTCCTGGGAAAAGTGTCCTTTAAAGAAATGTTCCTTCACTTTTTGCAAAGAAATCCACAACAGCTGATAGTCACACGTCTGTCTTAAGCTACCCTCCTAAGGAATCTCCTTTTACCTTAAAACAATAAATTGACATATTCAGTGACTTTTACATATCTGCTGGAGATCTGCTTATCTAAAGAGCTATTCAGTGAGCTGCTTGGGGTTCTGTGTTTCGAGAATTGTCACGCTCCTGCTGAAGTACAAAATCAGCATTTGTACTCCTAGCAGGAACAGAAACATTCAAACCAGTCTCCAGCCATTAGTTTCTCTATGGAAATGTCATCTACACACTCATTCAGTGTCATGCGAAGTACTTTGAGGTAGCCAGAACCACTTCATAAGGCTGGCAGAAACAACACAGGACATCTGAGAGACTCAAACCCTACCAGAACAATGAGCGGTTACTAAATATCTAATGTTCAGGCAACTGAAGTGAGACCTTGGTGTGGAGATCAGTGGGAGATCAAGAGCCCCATGCTTTGGTGTCTGTGTGCAGGTACCTAGAGGTCTCCTTTTAGGTAGAAGAGCTCAAGTCAAGGTAGTGAACAAATCCTAGGGAACTATTCATCTCATTCTAAGATGGACATGTAGGGCTGGATTCAGTTGACTTGTAGTGCTATTTGAGACACTTTACAGTGTCCTAGACAACACAGGACCCACGGTACACCATCTCGGAGTAGCAGCTGGAAGCCGAGAGGAAGGGTAATGGAGGGATGGTAATTAAATGTAAGTGCCTGAAGCAGAATGCCATCCTTATTGGGTTACAGTGAACACAGTTTGCATTCTGAGCTTAAGACACAGGTCTTAATTTGCACTACCGGATGCCTTACAGAGTCATAAATATTGGAAAAGGAAAGTGAGTTTCAGTCAGTCATGAAAATCTTGTGAATAGTAAAATAATTCCAGATTTAGGTGCATGTTGTCTGTCATTCATTGCAAAAGCAATACCCTGGGAGAGGTTGCAGTGTCATTTCACTCATTTTTGTTTCTATGCCCTCACAGATTTCTGGCTCTTTGAATCAAGTGACCAAACAGGTAATCTTTCAGAGTATTTCCTGTTTTCTCATGGCACCTTTCCACCTCCCCAAACAAGAATTTAGTTTCTTCCTCACTCTCTGTTTCCTGAATCCATGATCTCAACCCCATGCTCATTATTTTGACCCCGCTATCTTCCCTGACCTCTCTCTCATCTTTTAAAACTTGACTGAGCACCTTTTCTTACCCACAATATCCTATAGATACCCTATGCAGACAACTGATACCAGTCCTCAATCCATGACCTCAATGGCAGCAGCACCTGGACATCATAAGACAGATCCAATTCCAACACCACAATAGCTCCAGGCCCTTTTTGTGATCTGTCCCTCAAATAAGGCTAGTTCTCATGCATTTTCAGTGGCATAATCATTCTTTTTTTTTTTGAAGTACATAAGCTGGAAACCAACCATGGCCGAGGTCAAACTCTAAGGACGATTGATTTTAGGTGGTATTGGTGGTTTGGTGGTATTGGTGGATTAAGGTGGATTGATTTTAGGTGAGGAATTTGAGGAACGTTTTATCTTTTGCCTCTTTTTGAACTCCTCCTGAAATGGATAAAAGCACAGCTTTTCAAGTTCTCTGATTGAAAAACATACCAAGAATGAGATTCACAAATATCTGGTTATTGTAGTCTCAAGAAGCTCACCCCCACATACTGTGTCTTTAAGTCCCTTCTTGTCCTTCACAATCACTGTAGTTTTAGAGTGCTAACCTCAACCTTGAACCCAACAGGAAGAACTGGCCACATCTTGAATCCCCTGTGTATCAACAGACACAAGAAGTAACACCTCAGAAACTTCTCTTCACTTGCATTCTTCTTTTTGCTTTCTTTTTGCTTCTTTTCCTCTACTAGATTTGCCCTTTTAACAGCTTATAGGAAAGCGAATGTTTCATATCTATTTTTCCAGCTTCTGTAATCCTCTAACACTTTCCTTAAAAAAAAAACAAACAAACCAAAATTGGAGAAGAAGCTTCACCAATGAAAGAACTACTCTAATTAATACTGATATGGTCACCTTTTACTCAGCTATCAAGTACCAACATTTCTGGAAGATGTACGGAAAAAGTATAGACAAGACTAAGATGCTCCAGGAGCATCTTGGCCATGCAGCTCCCAGCCCAGCCAACTGAATCACAGCAGGAACTTCTCTCTGGGGTGGTTTTGTTGTTCTTCTTCATGTTGGTTTATGCCCTCTATTTTTTTATTATTATTATTATTATTATTATTATTATTATTATTATTATTATTATTATAGGTTTATATGGATGTATTAAAGGATATAGGTGTGAAAACAGTGGCTTCAAAAACAGGTTGTAGGACATGTCCCTGTTTCATAAGCTATTTTTCATTTTTATAGACAGTCACCGTATCTCCTTTCTCACCTTAAACTGACAGTGTTGCTAACACTGCCCTATTCAGGCACTTATTTATTTGCTGCTGGTGTAGGTTTTTAAAACTGCAGATGTGTTAGGCTTACATCTGTTCCCAAGTCTGGGTCATTTTGGCTAAATGGGTTTGAAGATGACATGAGTAGTTCAGGCAGTATTTCCAAGGGGATGAGTCAAACAAACTAGGAGAAGAATTGTAGCATGTAACTGAGACCAGATGGATGTTATAATATTCTGCTGCCACAATTATTTTAAACTCTATCCACAGTTTAAAATGCAGGTGAGGAAAGAGGAGTACACTTTCAGGGAAAGCTCCTGAAAATTGTTTCTTCCAAGAAGTTGTGGCTCTACAACACACCAAATTTGATCCTGGGTATTGTGGCTGTGTAAAAGATCAGTGGTCTTAGTATGAAGAAATTTAGATTCATTTTCTTATTGTTCTGATGAAGATTAGCAAGAGTTTGAGAATATAATTTCTAATAACATTTCTGAAAAGCAGTGTAATGTGAAGACCACTCCATGCTCCTAGAAACAACATGGACCCACTTTCATGTTGCCCAAATTCTACCAGAATCTGATGTTTCCTCTTCAAAGCACCTTCAGAAGCTTTGAGCACATCTTCCTAGGTATAGAGGCTTGTGTGATGAAAACCTAAATCTTTGTGATTTTCATAGAATCACAGGATGGTTTGGGTTGGAAGGGACCTTAAGGATCATCTAGTTCCAACCCCCCCACCACAGGCAGGGACACCTTACCCTAAAACGAGGTTGCCCAAAGCCCTGTCCAACCTGGCCTTGAACCCTTCCAGGGAGGGGGCAGCCACAGCTTCTCTGGGCAGCCTGAGCCAGTGTCTCACCACCCTCACAGTAAAAAATTTCTTCCTTACAGCTAATATAAATCTACCCTATCTCAGCTTAAAGCCCTTACCTCTTTTCCTATCCCTACGCCCCTGATCAAGAGTCCCTCCCCATCCTTCCTGTAGCCCCTTTAAGTACTGGAGGGCCACTATGTCTCCCTGCAGCCTTTTCTTATCTGGGCTGAACACCCCCAATTCTCTCAGCCTGTCCTCACAGGGGGGTGCTCCAGAGCCCTGATCATCTTCGTGGCCTCCTCTGGACTCACTCCAGCAGGTCTATGTCCTTCTGATCTTGGTGCCTCCAGAGCTGGACCCAGCACTGCAAGGGGGGTCTCACCAGAGTGGAGTAGAGGGGGAGGATCCTTTCCCTTAACCTGCTGGCCACACTTGATGCAGCCCAGGAAATGGTTGACCTTCTGGGTTCTGAGTGCACAGTGTTGTCTCATAGTCAGTTTTTCATCCACAAGTACCCCCAAGTCCTACTCCACAGTGCTGCTCGCAATCTGCCCGTTGCCCAGCCTGTATTTGCTCTTGGGATTGACTCGACCCATGTGTAGGACCTTGCACTTGGCCTTGTTGAACCTCATGTGATTTGCACAGGTCTCCCTCTCCAGCCTGTCCAGGTGTCTCTGCATGGCACATCCCTTCCCTCCAGCGTGTCACCGCACTACACAGACTGGTGTTGCTGGCAACAGATTACTATTTCATTTTTGGGGCCCTCTTCTCTCCAGAGCTCTATCAAGCAGATCCCTGATGAGGCCAAAATCTGCTCTCCTGAAATCTAGGGTATTGTATTTGCTAATATCTCACTAATAATAATAATAGCTATCTTCTAGATATTAAAAGATGATGATATTTCCTTTCTGTCCTCTGGCCAGTGATTCAGTTTCCCAAAGACAGACGCCTGGCACTATTTCAAATGTCTTAGCAAACCTGCCTGGCCTCCACCTCCCTCACATCACCTTGTTCTTTGCAAATGATGACATGAGGCATCTCCAGTTTTCCTAGGCGGCCATGTTTTGCCAGCTGAATCAAGATTCCCTTTTCTAGATAAAGCAAATCCACAGTAATGTTGCTTTCTAGATCTTCCTTTGTCCTTCTCTTGATTTTCATCTCCTTTTATATGCAATGCCCTATAAACAAGGATCCAGCTGAGTATATTAACATAATTGTCACCTGAGGCTTACAGACAGAAATCCCATCAAAACAGCCCAGAAGGGAATGTGCTCTTTTTGTTTCAGGATTACACAGTTCACCCTCATCCTAGTAAAATTTCAACTGCAGTGGTTTATTTCTCACACTTCTATCTAGCAAGTTATTTCTCTGTTATATGGATTTGATTTTGTTCTCAGAAGTGTAGCACCTTATACCTGGTTTTATTAGTATAGAAACAGCCCATGAATTGGTATTCAAACAATTTCTTCAAATTTTTTGCGCAACTTTCCACTCTGGTCTCCCCAGGGCTCATAACTTCTGCATTTCTCTTCCCGCCAGTTAAACCAGAATTTACAATTCCATCATTCAGATCAACACTGAATAGGATAACTAGGCTCAGGCTTAGCACAAAGTTATTTGATAGAGTCCACCCAGTATGGCAGAAAATATCTCATGCTGGTCCATTGACACATGTTGATCAACTGCTGAAAATTCAAGCCTGGCCAATGTAGAACAAAAGGAACAGAGAGACATGAAATAAATTGCCTAAAAGTAGACAACAGAGCCTCCTGATGGAGCGAAGTATCTAAACCAGAACAAGCTGGAAATCAAGGTTCAACTTTAATACTGCATCAGCTGTCATTTCTTAATTTTTTTATGACTCACTGCTGTGCTGTTGCTGAGAGGAAATTACCCGAAACAGGATTTGCAAAGAATAAAGCAGTACTTAAAGGAAACTCCAGAACAACTAACTGGGCATCCTTCTAAGCAAAGTCTATTCAACTGCTCATTTCTTTCAAGTACAGGCAGACAAAATGATAATAAATATTAATCAAATATAACTAATTTGTACCCATCATGATTTATGATTGCAAAGCTTATCAAACACACACCCCCAAATACACTGGGCTGCCCTTTTCTGGTGTGTTTTTCCTCCCTTCTACTCTGTGCTGAACCATAAATGCTGTTCTGAGATACATTATGTTGTTGGCAGTAAGTGCTGCCGGTGTTATTATAGAAGAGTAATATTTTGAAATTGAGAAGATCTATTAGATCAGCAAGTCCATTTTCCCTCCATGGAAAAGATAATAGTCTCCCAAGAGGGATATATCTTGTATTAAAATAAGGCTACCTACTGATTGCAGCAAACACTGCCCCTTGATGACGTTGATGTGTGTTACAGTTTGCTTTACGCCATCGAAGTCCTGCTGTATTGACTCCTGAAAACATTTTCTCACCGGCTATGGGTGTTTAACCTCTGTTATACAGACTGCAGGCAGCCCAGCAGGAAAATTAACCCAGATCACAGCCGTCTCCTCCTGCCACCCTTTCCTGGGGTAAATCATGAACAGGCTGCAAAAGCAGTCTGCTTGAAGACACTGAATTTTTTTTAGGTTCATTGCGTTAAACTCTTGCCCATATTTTACTATATACGCCAAATGTGATGGAACTGGGAACGCATAGTCCTGCAGAACACCTGAATTGATGTTCCTACCAGGATGAATTTCTCACACTTATGCAGCCAGTCTACAGCTTTGAGAAAGTATCAGCGCAACTTCTGGGGTTGCAGTGGAGTTGTGGGAAACTCATTAGTCTGAACAGCACAGGCTGAGATAGTTCCTCCCCTGGGTTCAGGCAACCCTTCAGCACAAACCTCTCCCAGTCTGGAGATAAAACCTAGTGTGGGAACTGCACTGATTGCACCTGTGAGCCAGCAGAAGTCAGACAACACTCCTAGTGCCCTTTGGTTAGGAAACTCCCTGAAAGATTGGATATGTGAGTTTAACGGTCTCAGCCTTATAGGTTAAACCTTGGAGTCTCCCATCTGGGTGAAATTAGGAGGAACAGCAGGGAGAAAGTATAACACAATGACTTCTGTGTAAATCCTGGGCCATGAGCAGGAGTTATTTGCAACGTGCATTCACTTCTGCTGTGAAATGGCCCTCGGGGACTCGGTTGTCAAAATGCAGATATAGATTAGTTACCAGATGGGGAGTGAAAGTAGCTGTTCTGTAATACTCCCCATTCTGCACAATAAACACAAGATAATTCAGAAATGGCTCTGAAGTTCATTTGAAGAGGATCACAGAGCAAACTAACAACTGCAGTCACTTCCAGATTTTGTTATTCTGCCAGGATGGCAGGAGTTGGCCGGTGAAAGTTGGTTTAAATATGAATTACAGTCATATAATATTATATGATATCAATTTTTTCCAGAACTGGAAAAAGGAAATTTTACTTCTGTTTTCACGTGCCTTGTGCTAGAAATAGGTGCCAAAAGCTACTGCTGATAGAGCTAACGGACAAATTAAGTCCCCTTTTAATAGAACTAATCTCCAAAAGTAGGTGATACAGTACGTCTCAGAACAGACACGAGATTAAAGGTGACACGCTGGAAAGGAAAAAAAAAAAAAAAAAAAAAAAAGAGGATAAGTCCAGAAATCAGTCTAGTAGTGGTGTTTGACAATTATTAGTGATCAGTCAGTACAAAGCAACAGGAAGGCTATTATTTTCCTCGGTGGCATCTAGATAAGGCAGCTTACAATGAATTCTAGATTTCATTGCCTTCATTTGCTGATCATTCCACATTCACCCTTTCAAGGGAGTTAGAGTCCTTCATCATATCTGTGCATGTTACTGGCTCTTTGAAGATAATCTGTCAGTTTTCTACATTCTCTGCTTAAATTATCATAACTCACAGGGGCTTCCTTAAATCTTATAACTTTTTGTCACTATCAATTGTCTGCTCTGATTTTTTTCTTATCACTCTAGCACCAAGAAATGATGGGAAATATTATCAGTCTGTCTTCAGGGAAAGGAAATAACTGTCAGCCTGCCCTATATTCTAGAGAGCTCCTCCACACCCCAGAAACAACCCATTTGCTGGCAGTTTGGCAAGCCTTTTTCCTTTAGCTAAAAGAAAAAAATAATCGAAAAGATCAATAGGAAGTGTAAACTGAATTAATTTTACTGAATTGGAATTACTTTCTTGTGTCACTGCAGGCAAGGACTGACTACAGACTCATACAAGGGTTTAATTCAAGCTGTGGACACAGTTGTTTTATTTGGAGTAGTCGTCTTTGGATATTTGGGGTGGCAGAAGAGGATTAAGAGAAATCTCAGATTTTGAGTGATTTTGTACACTGAAGAAGCCATTAGGCAAGAGATATCCACTGGCATGAGGCAGTAAACACACAAGCACTTCTCACATTTCTATATGCAGAAGGTGTAGGGGGAATTCCCATTGAGTACATCAATTTTCAAGCCCATTGAGACCATGGGCCTCAAGGAACCTGAGATCAAGATTCTGAGACTATGAGCATGACAGTTAATAAAGTTAGAAATTATTATTATTAGTCATTATTTAAATTAAAAAACAAACAAACAAACAAACAAAACCAACAACAACCAAAAAAAAAACCCAAAACCCCAAACATTTTTCAACTAATAAGAAATTCAGTGGAAAACCGAGTTTTAAGAGGACTGAAAACATCGGCCTGTGTAGTTAAAATCAGGGTATAGCTGCAACTGGAAAAGAATGCATGGGTATAGGATCCAAATAAATTTCTATCAAATAAAATTTGTGCAGAAAGGAGACTAAGAACTCGGACACACCTACACAAGTCATTTTGCATCAAATACAATGCTGTGCATTGATACAAAATGAGTTTTTCCTTATTCCGAAAAAAATCTTGTTTTCTTCATTTCTTTTCTCTTTTATGTCTGCCTTATCCAACCACTAACCTGAGCACCCTCTTCTATTTTCAGACATCTTATTTAGTGACAACTATGAACTGAAAGGCAAAGCCTCTGTGGGTGCTATTTAAACACAGTAGACATCCACTAAAGATTGAATAATGTAGGGAGAAAGCATATAAAAAACAAGCAGCATCCTATAGAGAAGTGATGTTCTGCATCCTTGTACTTTCTTCAAAGTCTTTTATTACCTGGTTCTTTAATTTTATGCTGAGCACAGGATTTCATTCTTTAGAAGTAATTTACCAAAACAGCTAATGTTACTAATTGTTTCATTGACCATCACAGAATCAGTCCTTTCACTGAAGCAGGAACTCAGTATTATCACCAATGATAACAGTATTCTTCATTGTTCCTTAGCATTTTATTGGGTCCTGCAGGTTTACAAATATTCTTTAACTTTCCTGTATTTATTGCCTGCAAAACCTCTGCAGAAATATTCTCCTTAAAGAACAAAAACGAAAGATGCAACATTAGCAGAGGTTAAAGGAAATATTCAGCTGACTGACTAATGGAAGGAAAAATCAATTATATGGACATCTCTTCAAAATCCAAAGCGCTTTATGCTTTTTTTATTTATTTATTTTTGTCCTTGGGGATGTTTTATCTGATGTAACATTGCTATTAAACTACCTCAGCTCAACTGAAAATAGTATTGACTAGCATATTGTAAACTCTTCTGAGCTAGCACCGCATTTCTATTTATGTTCAAGCAACTTAATTGTTATTAGGGCCCCTGGATAGTGCTTTTAGATAAATAAAAGTGCACCATCAAGACAGTAGGCAATTTGAACAATAGGTTCTGAGTATGGCAGGAAATAATGGTAAATCTCTGTAACTTGTAATGTTTTCCTATGAAAGTGGGGATGTAAAATAGGAATAAGCTCAGTGGAGGTGCGGGACAACTGCAGTGAGAAACTTTTGTTTTCTCTCGGTGTTTTATATTGCTGCCCGGCAACTCAGCTTCTGAACTTTGTTCTTGTAAATTCAAAATCAGTAGAAAACTCATAATGGACACCACTAGAATAAAGAAAAGGTCATTTTAGTGTCAAAATTCCTTTGTGATATTTCTCCGGAGTGTTTTCCCTCTTTTTTTTTTTTTTTTTTTTTTAATATATTTAATCAGTTTATTCCATTGAGTTCCCAAAATTTTTCAGAGCCAGTCTAAATTTTCTGACTTTTTTTTTTTGTTGTTGCCTGAAAAATGCTGAGTTGTCAGAATCACCACAATCGTCCACACAAGCCTTCTTCAAAAGGAATGGTATTTAGGCAAAAAGCTGAAACAGAGTTTTTCAGTCTCATCAAAATGAAACATTTGATTTTTTCCTTAACATTGGATTTTTGCTTAACTCAATCACCAATTATAATATCAATTTTTAAAAAATACATGTAATACAGAAAGG